TTTGTTTGTTTGTTTATTCCCCAAAATACTGCTGGTGTGATGCTGGGGCCATGTTAGTAATGTTATCTAAAAATCTTGAGGCTGGTCTTAAATGCTATGTACAGACTAATTGCCCTGTCCAGTTAATTCATATAATCATTAAGGTTGTAAAAGATCTCTAAGATCACCAAGTCACCCAGCACTGCCATGTCCACTGCCACACCATGTCCCTAAGCACCACATCGAACACTTTTGAATATTTCCAACCACAGAGATTCCACCACTTCCCTTGGACAGGTGATCAAGGCAACTTGTTCCAATGTTTGACCATCCTTTCAGTAAAGAGATTTTTCCAGTTTTTAGATCCTACCTAAGACTCCCCTGGTGCATCCCAAGGCAATTTCTCTTGTCATATCATTTGTTACTTAGAGAAAGAGACTGACCCCCACCTTGGAACAACTTCCTTTCAGGAAGATAAGTCCTCCCTGAGCTTCCTTTTTCCAGGCTAAGCACCCCAACTCCCTCAGATGCTCCTCATCAAATTTGAGCTCAAATAGAATTAGGTCCTGTTCTCCAGCTGACATCAGTGGGCACAGTTTGTCCACATCAAACATGATCCATCTCCAAAATAATGTATCTGCTTCCAAAGCCCTGATGGAGAACAGTGTGTAGGCAGTGCTAATTCCCCTGCTGGGGCCAGGAACTGGCCAAGAGGGTGTTGGTTGTCCTGAGCCAAAGCTGCTCTGGGATCACTCCTCCACAGCACCCATGACTGTACCCCCAGGATCCAGCCCCATTTAATTTAAACACAGCTAATGAGATCATGCAAAACACAGGGTAACATTTCCCAGCCTGATTTGGGAGCAATTAAAAGCTGGATTCTGGCATGGTGTGGCAGGTGAGGTTCCAGCCACACCACCACCAGGGCCAGCCTGAGGCACCCAGCTCAAGAAGACTCTGCCCAGGCAGGGAGCTCCCGCTGCCCCTGGAGGGGCCGGCAGAGAGGGGACAAGTCCCTCTACCCACCAGGACAGGAGGGTGGCTGCAGGTGGGAGCAGGAGGAGCCACCCACCAGTGACAGCATGAGCTGAACACTGGCAAGGGCTGGCACTGGCACCTGCAGAACCAGCCTGAGCTTGGCTGTGGCAAGCAGGAAGGAGGCAGAGCAGGAGCATCCCAGCAGGGCAGCAAGAGAGAGGGAAAGGGGAAACACTCCACACTGGGAGTTATCTTTCACTGGAAATAGAGGTGGAAGGGAACAAGAAATCCTAGAAGGCCTCTCTGATGAGTATTAAGTACAAAAATGCTTCGGTGTCAAAGGAGCAAACAGATTTGATAGAGAAATACTTACTTGGCCTGCACTTGTACCACACGAGGAGGTACTTGCCGGTCCCGGGGCAGGGGTCCAGCCCGAACAGCCGGCTGTTGACAAGGAACTGGCAGCTCCGCCTGTCCTGGCACTTGTCCAGCATCTTCTGCAGCCGGGGATGGGCACAAGAAACAAAAACAAAAGCACTTCAGTGTCCCCGCCAAAGGGAACATCAAACAGACACAAACTGCAGAAAGGGAAGGCCATCCTTGCCTCCACAACCAGCCCTGGCAAGAGGTAGGCGATGGTGCCCAGCACAGCAGGTACCACAGGAGCCATCGACTCGGTGCTCCTTGCACTGTTTTAAGAGCAGGTTTACATCCCCTTGCATGGGTGCAGAAGGAAGGATTTGCACTGGGATGGTCACAGAGATTTTGAGACACTTGCATGCCATTTAAACATAATAGAAACCAGTGCAATCCTAGAAAAAGCAGCTTTGAGGACACGGATCCACCTTGACAGTTAAAAGCAAAGACTCAAACTCTGCCACCACCAATCTACTTTAGATTTCTCTGGAGAAACACAGTTTCAAGACAGCTCTTGTCTCAGTTTTATAAAAGCTGGTCTAACTGTATATATATAAATTGCTGGTATTCCAATAATTAGTAGTTGTGGTGGGAACACTGTTACACAGCCAACTTAGTCAGTTTTTAATAGGGTTCATTCCTCTTCCTCCATGATTATTACATTCTTTTAGCTAAACTCAGGAAGGGGCTGTGAGTCAGGGGGTTCTCCCTCTACTAGCATTTTGGGTCCCACCCCCTTTTCTGCTTTTTCTCTAGCACTTACTCCCCACTCCTCCATTCATAACACTCACCAAAACTCCATCTCAGAATCCACAGGGGCAAGACATTCTGTCTCCTGCTAGAAAATAGCTTCATTAAGGAAGATTAATGATTTCTTTTAACCCTGTGATCCTCTAAAGCAGTGGTGTGGGGGAGAATATTATTGAGTGGGGTAGTAATTAAGTTTTAAATTCATCTGGATGGCTAGGGTGGTATTTATGTACTCCTGTAGAGCCCCTAAAGCACTAAAATTACCATAATGTTTGCCTGACACACATGAACCTGTCAGAGCATTTTGAGACCACAGAGCGAGGTAATCCACCAGCCTCGTTAAGTCCCTGTGATGCAGAGCTGTGAATTCCAGCCCCAAAACAATTAATTTTCTCTTGCAAGGAGGCACTGCAAAATCCTTCCTCAGAAATTCCCCTAGGCTCCCCTGGTCTCTTTTGTCTTCTCTCTGTTCACCTTTTCTTACATCCACCTCGATATTTGGGCTTTCCCACAATCTTTTCCCTGTGCCATTAACATAAAGACTGTTTCTGCTCTACCATGTGCCACCGAAACAAATTTTCTCTCTGCTTCAGTGACTAATTTCTATTTTTGAGTTCTCCCTGAATGTAATATATAGAATCTTTAGCATTATAACTCTGAATGTCACACTTTGAGCAACAGCTGTTCCAGTTTCAAGTGCAATTTGAAGCTGCCTCATTTACAGTTGCTCATAACTTCCTAAAGCTTTCACCTTTTGGGCTGACACATGCAAGAATTCATGCCTGCCTCAAGTCTGACCTTTATTTTAAAGTTCAAACCAAAATAATCCAGGCCTTTTCTAGCAAGCAAAGAACATATGCTGTTGTTTTCCACTTACAAAGGTAATAAAATGCAGGCATTTTGTTTAAAAATACTGGATTTAGGATGGAAAGGCCACGAGGTGAACACTGAAGGAGGTGCCTGGGAGCATTAGCCCCAGCTTGACCATGACATTAAAATGCAGAGAAACAGCATACTCTTTCCTCTAGGCTCATAAGAGTTGGCTGCTCACTCAGCATGTGAAATTTAATTTAATGCAAAATCCAGTGAGTTGCAAAGGAATTCAAGTGAGGATCCAGCACAGATACCTCTTTTCATCTCAAAAAGAAAAGAACAACTGAAACAGTTCTGGAGGGTTACACATATGGAGAGAAATTCTCTCGAAATCATTGTGTACATGAAAGGATTTTCTGGTACTGGACAGCCATGCTTACACACATCTAGAACTAAGAATATTGAGCAAAGGAAAAGAAGCAGGACCCCAGATGTTCCTTTCCCTCTAGGGAAACTTTCTCCACTCAAAGGCAGCAGATTTGGATTTTGATCTACAAACCTATTCACAGCAGACATCCCAACAAGAAAACAACTTTGAAAACCTCAGCTGAGATACCTCAGCAGCACTTGTTCATCTGTCCTCAGGCTCAGCATCAGGAACAAAGACAACAATTCCCTGACTTCAGAGAACCATGGACACAGGCAGCCTTCAGGTAGTGCCACTTTGTCTTGGCTCTACTCTAACTTTTAGCAGCTCTTGATTATCCCTTGTATTCCACATAAGTGAAACCTCCTGCATTTACTTCCTGTGGTATTCAAAAGGTGGAAGAGGGCAGCAAAAAACAAAGCCTTAGGGAGAAATTTGTAACTAAATTAAGGAGCAAAAGTCATCCCTACCATTTTGAGAGCAAAGAAAAAAGTAAAGGGTTCTTGGGTCTTAACATGCCATTTATTAATTTGTTAAAGTGTTTAGCTACAGTTCCAATTTAATTTGACAATAGCCATGACCCTGAAAAGGGGAAAGAGATCAATATTTCCTTTTCATTCACATAAGTCTATTTTACCTCCCTCAAAAGAGCAACATTTTTCCTGAAAATATGAAAAAATTCATTAAGATTTCTAATTTCCTGTACACTGTTTGAGTAATGTCTTATGCATAATGAAATATATTCATAAAGAGTAAAATAAAAAAATATATATGTCCAATCCTCTGTGAAATACATCAGTAAAAAAAACGCAAGGAAAATTAGCTGTAATTGACAGTGCATTTTTTTGATTAAAAAAATTGTTACACCAGTCTTAATGTTAACTTAAAAACTTTCACATATAACTTTTACCTATCCTTGTATGCAAAGAAATTTTCTTTCCCACTGCTTTCATCAGTATGTGCTATGTACCAGCATCTTCTTAAACACTGTGCAGAACATGTGTGAGCAGATGATCCCCCAAAGGTACAGTTCCCTGCAGGTCCAGAGGTTCTGGTGTTTACCAGTAGCCAAAACCCTGGCTTTCTGGCCTTACTCTCAAAAATCATACATCCAGGCAGTATCAGAGCTCTGGCAGATATCAGACTTTTTTTTTTTTTTTTTTTTTTTTTATTTTTTTTTTTTTTTTAAAAATTTATATTCTCTTTATTTATATAATCTTTGTCCAACAAACATTTTTTTTTTTTTTTTTTTTTTTTAAGTATTTGCAGATGATCAGGTAGACTGACACCGGGAAAATTGGGAGATCATCTGGTAGTGAGGGAATGTCTTGAGCTCCCATGTTTTTTGCTCAATGGATGGAAAAATGTAGGTAATTCATTCTCTGTTTTCCTTGTTGTTTTGGTTGTCCCTATCAGCTGAAAAGGTGGGAAAACACAACCACAAAACCAACCAGAAAAAGCCCACAAACAACCTGGACTTGCACGGGAATAGCAATAGGGCCACAGAACTGTCCCTGACTGGGAGGAACAATCAGCTCCTTGTGTCTCCAAGTCTGGTGGATCCCTGACTAAAGCCAAATAAAGTCACCTCGGTTTAGATTTTATTATAACAATCACTCCAACTGAGGAAGGTAGAGAAGGAATTCAGGAATTCCTGTCTGGCATGAAAGGGGAGGGAAGACACATTAATTGCTCTGTGCCATTTTATAATTGCGTTACAGTGGTAAATCAGGCCTGAGGGCTGACAGCCAGTGCTCAGGAGGGAAGCTGTGGCTGTTCAAACCCATTCCATTCCCTGGTTCATGACTGAGCTAAGAAGTTGCAAGATCTAGAGGAGATAAGAGAGCAAGGGAATTCAAGTAAAACAAACACTAATCTAACCCCTGTGATTTATGCCCTGAATTAATCTCCCTGCGATGACCTCAGTCTTAAAGCAAGGGCAGCCTCAAGCTCAAAATCATGTCTTTCTAGTAGCCACTGCAGATGAAACACATTTCTCGTGCTCATTTTGTTGTGCTCATTAGCTAAGTAATTGCTTGTGCTCATTAGATAACAAGCTTTTAAATGCAGAGCTGGATGTGAGCTCTGCAAGAGGCCATCCCCAGCCATTCCCAAGGGTACGCTCGTTTTTAGCCTGTCTCTTCAAATCACTCTTCAAGAAGTGCTTCCCCTGCACACTTAAAATAAACCACAACTGAGCTTAACACCCAAGGCAATTAAACTTATCTCAGTTCTTGGTCCCTCAGAGCAGTTCATAGATTCAACATGCTTAGAGTGAAACTTTGGACCCGTAGAAGCCAATGGTGAAACTCCAATGGAACAAGGACTTTACCACGGGGCTGCTCTCTGTACAGCCTCCATCTTCAAAGGACCATAAGGATGACTGCAGGGCATGTCAGTCATGCATGAAATTACACAGAAGAGCCCTACTAAATAATTGCCCAAATTGTGTGTTGCTGGGGAGAGTAACTCGCAGAGCAAGCTATATGAATGCATCAGAGCCACATGCAGCCAAATGAAGATGCACACAGATTTGTATTAAGAACTTTATGCAAGAAGATACCAGTAATTTTAAGTATTTTTAGGTCAAATTCAGTCCAGGCATGGCCATTATGGTGGAATTACACCAAAACTTATATTGGTGCACCTTCAGAGTGTTTGCAATGGGAAGAAGTAAACACAACAAACAAGGTAGCATGAACTCTCCCTACAGCACAGTGCATTCATAATGACTTCATGTCATATTTCATTTGAATTTTGATATTCTTTTATGTACCCTTGAACACTGGTAATACTTTAAAACATGCTATAAACTTCCTGCTTTCAAGTTGAAAATTTACTTACAGGTCCTGTTTCTGAGCACTGAACAGTCATCTCCATTCATGCAAATTACTAAAGTCCATGGAGGAAGAATATTTTCCAAGAATCAGCAAAGGGAAGCACAGACCACATGAGGAAGTGAAATCCATGCTGATGAGATGCAGGTGACCTGCATATAGCTTCATCAAGCCACCTTCTCAGCCTGCTCCACTAGAAAATAGTTTAGCTTTGCCCAAATTACTGCTTTCCAACTGTGCATCACTTGAAGAA